TTAATTGGAGATGAGTCCACTAACTTTCTTGCCCAGGGTAGCCTCAAATGCCAATCCTTCAGAGCTCAGCCTCCTGAGTAGCTAGGATGACAGGCTTGGGCCACCAGTGCCTGGCTTCAAAATTTTGTTTTAAAAAAAGGAAGATTAGCTGGGCGACAGTGGCTCATGCCTGTAATCCTAGCTACTCAGGAGGCTGAGATCTGAGGATCGCGGTTCAAAGCCAACCCGGGCAGGAAAGTCCGTGAAACTCTTATCTCCAATATACCACCAGAAAACCAGAAGTGGCTCTGTATGTAGCTCAAGTGGTAGAGCACTAGCCTTGAGCTGAAGAGCTGAGGGACAGCGCTCAGGCCAGAGTGGCCTATGACCGACCAAAAAAAAAAAAAGAAAAGATAAAAAAAAGGGGACTGAGAATTTGGCTCAGTGGTAGAGCGCTTGCCTTGCATGCCTGAGGCCCTGGGTTCAATTCTTCAGCACCACATAGCAAAAAGAAAAAAGCCGGAAGTAGCGCTGTGGCTCAAGTGGTAGAGCGCTAGCCTTGAGCTGAAGAGCTGAGGGACAGCGCCCAGGCCTAGAGTTCAGGCCCCATGACCGGACCCCAAAAAAAAAGAAAAGAAAAAAAAAAAGATCAGGTCCTCTTCTCCACTTTCTGATTCTTATTCCCTCTAGTGTTTGACAGGAAAGTTCTGGATCCCACAGAAAACCCCAACCTGCCTCCACAGTGATTAATGATATGCCCCCTTTTCCAAAGCTTGGGTGCCAGACCAGTGCCAGAGTGTAAAGAAGCCCAGAGCATTGGGAAGTGCAGAGGAGACAGCTTCTGTCCCTAGATCCTGGAATAATTACAACATTAATTTTGCCAGGCATAGCCCTGTATTGGATCATCATTTTATACTGTCTTCAACAACTACATAAGGCAATCTGATCACCCCATATTCTCCCCCCCACCACCACCACCACATGCTTGCTGTGGTTCTGAAATTTTCTTTTATGAGATCCTCTAACTAGGAAGTGATGGAATCCAATTCAAGACCAAGACTGTCCAACTCTGTCCAACTTTGTAGGCCATGGTCCTAACCCAGTTCTTCATGCTGCAGTTGTCCATGTCTTGAGGATATGAAGGCCACAGCCTTATACCCCACTACAGGAATTCCATCTGCTTGAGCCAGATGTTGCTTTGTATTTCAAGGGAGAGAAAATGGGATCATGGCTTGAGGATTACACTCTGTTATTACCACTGAGGTTCAAAGCAGGGAAACAGCAGAACCCCTTCTCATGCTGCAAGGCTTTTCTGTTTCCTTAGCTTTTCTGTTCTTTCTTTCTCTTTCTTTCTTTCTTTCTTTCTTTCTTTCTTTCTTTCTTTCTTTCTTTCTTTCTTTCTTTCTTTCTTTCTTTCTTTCTTCCTTTCTTTCTTGTTCTGGGGCTTGAACTCTGGGCCTGGGCGCTGTCCCTCAGCTCTTCAGCTCAAGGCCAGCGCTCTACCACTTGAGCCACAGTGCCACTTCCAGTTTTCTGGTGGTTAATTGGAGATAAGAGTCTCATGGAGGGGCTGGGAAGGTGGCTCAGTGGTAGAGCGCTTGCCTTGCATGCTCAAGGCCCTGGGTTCGATTCCTCAGCACCACATAAGCAAAAAGGGACAGTGCCCAGGCCCAGAGTTCAGGCCACATGACCAGACCCCCCCCAAAAAAAAAAAAAGTCTCATGGCCTTTCCTGCCCGGGCTGGCTTTGAAATGAGATCCTCAGATCTCAGCCTCCTGAGTCGCCAGGATTACAGGTGTGAGCCACCAGCGCCTGGCTGTTCTTGCTATCTTTTTTTTTTGTCAGTCGTGGGGCCTGAGTGCTGTCCCTGAGCTCTACCACTTGAACCACAGCGCCACTTCCGGCTCTTTCTGTTTATGTGGTGCTGAGGAATTGAACCCAGGAGGCCTGCATGTAAGGCAAGCACTCTACCACTAAGCCACCTTCCCAGCCCTGTTCTTGCTCTCTTAAACCCACAAGTTTCACCCTGACTCAGTCTTTCCATATGCGCTTCCTTCTGTCTCTAATGCCTCCCACTCACACCCCATTCATCCTTCAAACCCTTGGAAAGGCCTTTCTTGGTCCCAGATAAGATAGCATTTTTTTTTTTACAACCACTTCAGTAAGTATTGTCTTTCCTACTGCTCTTAGTTCTGTGAGAGTAGACTGAGTCTATCTTGCTTGTCACCATTTCCCTAGTGCTTGGTACAGAGTAGTTGCTCAGTAAGTATTTGTCTTCTGAATGGTTGCATGGGCTCCAGGGAAGGAGACCACCTTCAGTAAGAGCAAGAAGGGTAGTAGGACACTAGTAGGACACAGAAGGTGAAAGTGAGATCTCCCAGCCCCCTCTATCTCAGAGCCATCCCCAAGCCACCAGCCCCTGACTCTGCTTAACCCTTCCTTCTCCCCTGGGCGCCTTTGGAAGCAGACCATCTGGCTTAGCGCCTATTTGCATATTGTCTGGGCCTCAGTAAGCCAAGCAAGATGTCCCTGGGGGGGGGGGGGCGGGGGGTTCAGGCCAGTCCTAGTGGCCCTTGCTGGCTGTGAAGGGAGCCATGAGTTCTACCTCTCCCCACCCCCAAATCCTGGCATGGGGGAACAATACGGGTGGTGATGCAGTAGCCTCACCATGGTAACAGGCTATCAAAAATGTGAACAGGGCTGGGGTGGGGGCGGGCTGCAGAGGAGGGAGTGACCTCCGCAAATAGGAGCATGATGATAAATGAGCCAGCGCCAGGCCACAGACTCATCCCCCTACCCACCCTCTGGGACTCCATGATGGCGCCATCACGTGGATGACCCTGACATGACCACTCGCCCTCCCCCCACCCAAGCCTATCCTGAGTGAAATAGAAGTACCTGCCCTCGTTTTGGAGGGAGCTAGGACAGTTCACCAGCTGAGTCCCGATTCTGTACTGGCGTCCCAGCCTGTGGTCTTGGGCTAGGCCCTGGCCAGCCTCTCTCACTGCACGCAGACACACCCCCGCCCGCCACAGCCCGCTGATGGATGTGTCAGACCCTGGCGGTTCTATCGAGCGGCTACAAGATGTATGGGCTGGCGGCCCACCAGACAGTGCCAAGATGGAGGCCAAGGGGAAGCCTCTTGAACCTAAACCTCAGGAGGAGCCCCTCTAGGAGTCTGAGCTGAACTACAGCTAATAGAGGCAGCAGGGGGAGAGGAGTAAGGCTCCCTGTCTGCTTTGTTTAACTTGAGGAGTTGAAATTGGAAGGTGGCAGCCGCAGTCCATGGATGCTTTGCCCGTGGCTCTGTGCTCTGCTGGCCTACAATGCAAGGATGTTGGCAGCCTTCCTGCCTCCACAGGGTGACACACAGGCCAGGAAGAAAGCCTTCAAACCCTGTCTGAGGCTGGGTATGTGTGCATGCTGCAAGGTAGACACATACTCCAACAAGGCACAACCTCCCCAAGTCCAGACAGCCCATCCCTTCCCTTTATTCTAGAACTCTGGACTCTAGGCTAAGCAGCACAGGCTGAGCCCTAGGCTGTAACTTTCTCTGATGGGACTGGCCCCCTGCTGGCTTGTCAAAGGCTACCTGTCTCCCTGGGGCCTTTGTTGTCTCCAGAGAACAGAACCTTGCGCAGCCTCTGGAGAATGGTCCATTGAGTGAAGATGCCTGACAAAAAAATGTACAGAGCAGGGTGGTTGTGTGTGGGAGCCTGTCACCCCTCCTTGAGAAAGAAGAGGTGACCTTGGGGACAGGTGCCTATGAGCCACTACCTAATGTACAAAAAGACTGGTAGCTATTCCAGAACCCCCGTTGTTGCTGGTCAGCTGAGCCAGAGAGGTCCTTTAAACCCCAAACAGCTCACGTCTTCAAGGTGGCCACCCCCAGTCCACAGGGATCTGGAAATGGGCAGTACGGGAGCGGTGATTCGTCAGTGTCCCTGGCTAGCAAAGGGTCCTTCTCTCCCTCTGTTTGAGGAAATTAACTGATGTTATCAGCCCTGCAATTGTTTTTCTCCCCTTACAAAGCGAAATATATGCAGCCCCCTCCAAGAGCACAGGCAAGGCCTCTCCAGCTAGGCTGGCAGGAGAGATAAAAGTGGGAGTAGCTCATTGGGGTTCTCAGCAGCCTATGACAGCCTCAGTCCAGCCATGTTTGTGTGTATGTATGGGTGTATGCACGGGCATGCACGCGTATGTGTGCTCACACACACAGGTGTGTGAGTGCTTGCACTGGGGATTGAACCCAGAGCCTCCCACATGCTAGGCAGGTACTTTTTGTCTTTTGAGCCACCTCCAGCCATCCCAGTCCTTCAGATGTGATAGTTCCCCGGCTTATTGTTTGCCCAAATCCCTTCCTATCGGGTGGGGGAGCCTTTTTTCTGCTAAGGGAAGACAATATTTGGATTGTTTTTGTTATTGTTTTTGTTGGTCGTGGGGCTTGAACTCTGGGCTTGGGTGCTGTCCCTCAGCTCTTCAGCTCAAGGCGAGTGCTCTACTGCTTGAGCCACAGCGCCATTTCCAGTTTTCTAGTGGTTTATTGGAGATAAGAGTCTCACAGACTTTTCTGCCCGGTCTGGCTTTGAAATGAGATCCTCAGATCTCAGCCTCCTGAGTAGCTAGGATTACAGGCTTGAGCCACTGGCACCCGGCAATTTATTTGGATGTTTATAATGGCATTCTCAAGCCATACAGAAATTTTAATATAGGCAGATGGACCACAGGCAGCCAATAAGTGTCTGTTCCCTTGAGGATAGTCTATATGGGGCCTGATGGCCTGACATTTGCTACCTCTGTATAAAAGCCGATGTCTGTGATCTTCAGCAGTACCAGGGGCCACTGTCTCTCAAAACTTCTAGAAGGTGATTGGCCTCTCTTAACTCGTTTCCCACCTTGGGATCCCTTGGGTCTAAAAGAGGCCCTTGGAGCTCATTCACTTTCTTCTAGGCTGGGCAAGGCTTTGGGGGCCAAGATCCACTTAGGTTTGACTTTAATTTGTTCTGTGCCTTCTTCTCCAGGGGACATCCGGAACCTCCTTGTCTGGATCAAGAAGAATCTGCTGAAAGAGCAGCCAGAGCTGTTCCTCCTGGGAGACAGCGTGTGAGTGCCTGTTCCCCTTGTCTGAGGTCTACTTTCAGGTTTTTCTTTGCCATATTGCACCGTTAGAGGTTTATTAAAAGCCCAGAAGAAAGGGACCTGATGAGTCTGTGGAAGTATAGTCAAGTAATTTGTGTCTCTGGGCCTCTAGAAAATACCAAGACAGAGATGCCTCCCAGGGTTCTCCAACCCCGTCTCTATTAGGACAGTGCTGTCCCTGCGCCTTTGTGGAGTGACAGACACGTGCTGTATCTGTGCTGTCTGGTAGGGGACTGTTGAGCTCTTTGCTAGTGTGACTGAGGGAGGAAATATTTGGTTTTATTTAAGTAGCCACATGTGGCTAGTAGATAACTGCATGGAAGAACCAGGCCTAGGATTCCAGTGTGCGGCTGGTTGCAGGACATGTACTCAGGCTCTTCCACAGTCTCCAGTAGAAGCACAAAGTTCCTTCAACTGCCCCAGCCCAGCCTCCTAGCATAGACCCAGCTTCCACGTGCCATAGGGCTCCTGGGAAGCACAGGCCACCAAGGCCTTAGGGGTGGGGGCTGCCATCCACCCTGTGCTCAGACCTGGTGTGGTGGTCCCAGGGGCAACCTGTGAGGACAGCAGGGCTCCCTGGGCCATTGCCAGCAGGAGCCAGGCTAAGCTGCCTTCCATAGGCTTCGTTGCTTTTCAGCATTCCATGGCTCAGTGACTGGCCAGCCATCCCCGGCCCAGAAGCCAAAGTTCTAGTTTCAGGGTCTAAGAGTAAGATTAGACCTTGGGCTTTTCTACCACTTATTGAGACAAATAGGGAAGCAAGTAAGTCCTGGACTCATCGCCTCTCATGAGCCCTTAGTCAGAACTGTGGGAAGGCACTGAACTTGCCCCCATTATCTGAGGCCCAGGGACTTCAAATGACTTGCCCAGGGTCTCATGATGGAGCTCTTTTTGCTTTGTTTCCCTCTTGCCCCAAAGCCCATGACTGACCTGGTTTCCTGCACCTGCAGTCTAGGGCCTCAACTTCCTAGGAAATCTTTCACCAGATCTTAGGAGGCAAGGCTCCCGCCACACTCTGCAACGCAGCCCAGCACTCAGCCTCCTTCCTTCCCCACCCTGCTCCTCACCACCATCTTTCCCACAGGCGGCCAGGAATTCTGGTGCTGATTAACGATGCCGACTGGGAACTTCTGGTCAGTACCTCAAGGGACACCCCTCCCAGACCCTGCCCCTGCCCTCCTTGCCTCACTGGAAAAGCCTGGGGCCTCTCATTAGGCCCAGATAGGGTGGCTGGAAAACCTTTCTGCGCTGCTCTGGGCCCTAAACTGAGACTACTCACATCTCCCATTGCAAGTGGGGAGGGACGGCTACGGAAGGCGTGGGGCACACTTTCTCTCTCATATACACACTCTCTCGCGCTCTCTGCCCCCCCCCCCCCCGTTTCTTCCTCCCCTTACTCTCCCCCTCTGGGAGTCAATGTGTAGAGGCCCTGTTTTTCTGGTGGAGTCTCTTTTCTCTCCCAGAGCAGCCAGCTCTCCCTACAGCCACTCTAACACATGGGGGAAAAAAGCTAGGGCCCTACCCTGATGCCCTCTGCTCCTCTCTCCTGACCCAGGGGGAGCTGGACTACCAGCTACAGGACCAGGACAGCGTCCTCTTCATCTCCACGCTGCATGGCGGCTGAGGGCCCCTCTCAGCTTGGGCACCCTTGTGAGGGAAGAACCAAACAACCACACATCCCCTTGGCCCCCACTTCCAGGCCTCCTGTCCCCCCTTCGCTTCTTTCCTCCCTGTATCCCCTGATCTCCCTCCAGGCAGGGAAAAGAGGCCAGGTGCTAAAATGAGCTCTTCTCTGCAGGGCACGCGATTGAGCAGGGGGGGACAGGCAGCCCTGAGCCCAGCCGTCTTCTGGCAGCTGCGGTGGGGGAGGGCACCCCTCTGGTGTGTCAGGAGTGGAGGGGGCCTTCCACCCAGGTGACTCAGCTGCCTTCCACTTTATGTCTTAATTGAAGTGCTGAGTGACTGCGGACAAGGCACCCCTGCTCCTGGGCCGTCTTCATAGGGAAGATGAATGGACTAGAATAACTGATAGCAGGCCCTACCCTTCTCAAAGATTGGAAGAGTCTTCGCCTCAGTTTCCCCATCTGGACAGCAGAGGGCCCTGCCTGTCCCCCACTGATATCATTATGGAACCCCAGCTGGGGTTCCCTATTCAGTGTTGACCCTCTCCCCACACCCAGCAGCTGCTCTCCCAGCCACACCCCTCCTCCTGCTCTCCTCCAGCCCTTGATCCTGACTGGCACTCTCCCCCCCCCCAAGCCAGATGGGCTCCTGAGACCTTCCCTAGGCTGCCTACAACTGGGTACAGAGGAGGAGGAAGTAGCCTAACTTTGGAATGACCAATAGAAGCCCAGGGGTTGGTACACCTCAGTTTCTTCTTCCACAACAACTGTTTATAGTCTCTCAAGCCTGGGGGAGGGACTTGACAGCGTAAATGTAGACTTGATCTTCCCACTTCCTAAAGAAAGCAGGGTGGGAGCAAATAGGCCCTCTCTGGGCGGCAAAGTGGTTTGCCCTTCCTTCCTCTATCTCTTCTGCAAATTTGGGGGCCTCAGTGCCCACAGCAGCTGTCCTTGGGCAAATAAAAGACTAGGTTGTTTACTAGCCTTTCTTGGAGCTTCATCCTTAGAAACGAATGGTACCCTATATTTACGCAGCCACGGGCACCTGGGCTCTGGCACATTCTGTCACTCAGAGCCTGGGGTTCTCTGAGCTGCCCTTCACCCAAAAGGCTAAAATGCAGACTACCCTTACAAAGAGAGTAGTGGGTACAGACTCAGGCTGGCTGGTCTGGGTCCCCGGACACATCCCCACCAGTCTGTCCAAGGCTAGACTGTATCCTGCCAGCTATTATCCCAACACCCAGAACAGGTCTGGCATAGATAAGACTTCTCAGCCTTCTTTTCCTTCTGGGACCTGGAGAAAAGAGCTTTACTGAAGAGAGAGATCTCAGAAGAATTAGGATGCTAACACCATCCTGCCCTAAATGTTGCTCTCCATAAAAGTCAGTCATTTAAGATGGAGTTTCTCACCCTTTGAAGACAGAAGTACCAAATCATGTCACAGGAGTGTTTGGAAGGGGTGCACACTGGTTCTCTTAGCGGGCAAATGACCCCTGGCCATGAGCTTCTCCCCAGCACTGCTGCAGTGGAGTCCCTTTGGGCATGTGTGGATAGTAGCAGCCATGTTGGGGTTATCGGTAAGGACCCAGCTGGGTGCAAATTAAAGCCAGTGCTGGGTCTAAGCGCTGTCCAGAGAGGCTATAAGACCAGGCCCTCACTCGGTGTGGAGTGGGTCTCTGTATTAGGGAACAGAGCAAGAGACTTGTAATAGCCCCAGCAACCTCAGTTTTAGAGGGCCAGCCGTCCCCATGAGGTCTCTCACCCCTCCAGCCTCTGAACTGCTTGAATGGCCCATTTCTCCCACCCTGGGATTCCAGGTTCTGGAAAAAGAGGGCAGCTAAGATTCCTTCAGCTGCCTGGAGTGAAGGTTGTAGATGTGGGACATCCCTGCCCCCACAGCACCCCAATTCACGCTGGCCACCCGGCTCTCCCCACAGCCCGTGCCAGCGCCAAGGAGCCTGGCCCGGGCCACGGCGCCCCACACCCACGCAGGTCCCTATCGCCAGGGCTTCCGAGCCGGTGACCCCCCTCGGCCCCTGTAGTCACCCTCCCGCGCAACTCCTGGCCCCTGTTTTCGAGAAAATAAACGAATAAGTAAAACCCGCTCTCGCCGGAAGATTTTTCTTTAATGTGAAGGGTGCGCTCGTTCCAGCCCCGTTTCCAAAGCGGCCGCAGTTGCCCGGCTGCGCGCGCCGTCCGCGGCTTGTCCAGCGGGCAGCGAGCGGCAGGACGCGGCGCGGCGCGGCCCGGTCCGTCCGGAGAGGCTCGTGGGAGGGTTCGGCTGGTTTGGGGTTTCGGGGTTCATTTAGGTTTTGTCGTTGCTGGGCGGGCAGGGGGACTATGGGTCAGGGGTCGTTTCAAGCAAATTGGAATCGAGTTAACGAGGGCATTCTACGGGCGTTCGCTTCACCCCCGACTTCCTGCGGCGTCGGCCGAGAGCGGGGCTCCAGGGGCCGCCGCTGGGGGCTCGCTTCGTTCAGGCCGAATTTTGAAAAAGGGGAAATCGATGCGATCGACTAGAAGACCCCGCCAGCCGGCACCGCACCGGTCCCCGCCCAGGAGGAGGAAGAAAGCTGAGGACGGAGGCTGGGAGGGCCGGGGCCGCTGCGTCCCTCCGGTGCGCCCCGTGATCCTGGCGCCAGGAGCGGCCCGCCGCGCTCGGAGCTCAGCCACAGATGTCCAGCCACAATTCTCGGTTGGCCGCAGACTCGTACAAGAATTGCGTTTGGACAATCAGTGGCGAAGCCCCTAAGTTCAGGACCCAGGTCTCCGGCTTCCAGCGAGGTGCCCCTTGGACCCCGGAGATCTCCGAGGTGCGCGTCGGATCCCCCGCAGACCCCAGCAGGCGGCCCATCCCAGGGTAAGGCGCGCGGGCGTGCGGTCGCGCCGGGTCCCGGGGCGCGCGGCTCCCCATCGACCTGGGCTGTTCCCTGACACCGCGGCCCGGGTCCCCAGAATAACCTGCGCTGTGTCTGCACCTGTCCTCCCCCCTCCCCGGGGCTGGGGGAACCTCTGTCAGGCCCGGGGAGCCCCGATTTCCCCTCTCCCTGCCCCCAGTCTGGGCTCGCGGAGGCCGGTCATGTTTCCGATCTTGGGGTCCGAGTTGCCGGGCTCGCGAGCCCCCCGCGCCCTCCCAGCCCTGCGCACGCACCGGCTTGGGCGCTCTCCGCTTCCCGGTGGCTGAGTCCCGGCTGGGTGCCGGCGGGGGCGGTGGCAGGGTGGCCCCGCGGCCGCGGCGGCAGGAGCATCCCCGGAGCGCTGGAATGCGCCGCCGGTCACCTGCCGCGCCGGGGAGCCGGGCTGGGAGCCTGGGCCGGCCAGGCGCAGCGCCGGAGCGGAGCGGGAGCCTCTGGCGGCCCGGGGCCGGGGCGGGCTTTTAGTGGGCCGCTGCAACAATACGGGCCTGGCGCGGAGAAAGGGGCTCGGCTGCAATTGGTACTGGGTTTGAATAACGCCACGGGGCCATCAATGGTCATTGTGTCGGCGGGTAATGAATCTCCGCTGTCTCCCGGGCTGGCCAGGCAGCTGCAACCTGCGCTCAGGCAGCTCTTAAAGACATAGCGTGCCCCTCCCTGGGGGCCGCCTCCCCCTGCACCAGCCGGACCCCTCGCCCTCCCACCCCCACTCGCGCCCTCCACTCCCGATGCCCCGCCTGCTCCCTCGGCCTGACCCCTTTGCCCATCGCCCCCTCCCTCCTGGACCAGGCACCCACATCTCGGCCCTGCACTCTGTGGACCTGACTCTGGATCCTGGCCTTGGCTGAGCTCCCCAAGAGTGCCCAGGGGAACCCAGAGTATTTGGAGGCCCAGCCTCTTCCTCCCAGTTCCATCTAAAACCTGTGGTCCCTAGAGCCCCCTTCTTTAAGCTCCTCTGTCCAGGTGTTTCTAAGGAGTGAGGGGAACAGTCTGGAAGTCACAGGGTCACCTCTTAGAAGGCTATGCCGAAAATAGAGGGAGGAAGGGTGTAGTCCCAACCCCCAGGCTGAGGGTGCCATCTCCAGAGACTGCACCCCCAGGAGGGACTTGGATGTGGTCCCCTCCCCCCACCAAGGACGAGAGCTTGATTCCCAGGCTCCTGCCCTAGCAGCAGGGGTGGGGGGAGCAGGTGGATGTGAGAGGAGTGTGGAATCTATTAATGCTTGTCTCCTCATTGTCTCTCCATTGGACCGCCCACCCATCCAGGGGAACTGGGGCTTTGGAAGGTCTGGTGCACCCTTCCCTCCCATCTAGACAGGTCTGGCACCGCACTGAAGAGATTCTCTGTACTGGTTGACCCACTGTACCCTGATGTTCATCCCCAGAGTTTAGCCTAACTTCCCCAGTGAGTATCACAGCGGGAGGGGCACCTCTTCCCCTGCAGTGCTGTCCTATCCTCACAATCTCTTAGGAGCCTTGCCGTGGTGCCCAGCTCAACTGCAATCATCTGTTTGCTAACTCTCCCTACTAGGACAGGAAGTGAGTCCTACCAGTCTTTGAACCTCCAGGGCCTAGTACAGTGGCCTCTCCAACCAATCATTAAATGTCTGTGGCGTTTTCAGGTATGCCCTGTTACTTGAAAATGAGCCAAATAAATGCCTTTTCTTTTTCTTTTTTAGTAAATTAACACATTTATTGTAGGGTAGGGATATCTCAGATGGTAGAGCTTTTACTGGTCTCTGCAGGACGTCCAGGGCTCCGGACATTGTGTTGGTTTCCCTTGGAAGTTACTGTGGGAATCAAGAACAACGCTGTATGGAGCCTGTCCCGGGTAGCGCAGAAAAGTTCTTTTCTTTTCTTTCTTTTTTGTGCCTGTCCTGGGACTTGAACTCAGGGCCTAGGAACTGTCCCTGAGCTTTGTTGTTGTTGTCGATTGTTTCCTCAAAGCTAGTACTCTATCACTTGAGCCACAGCTCCACTTCTAGCTTTTTCTTCTTTCTTTCTTTCTTTCTTTCTTTCTTTCTTTCTTTCTTTCTTTCTTTCTTTCTTTCTTTCTTTCTTTCTTTCTTTTCTTTTCTTTCTTTTCTTTCTTAGAATCTCACAGACTTTCCTGCCCCTTCTGGCTTCAAACAGCAATCCTCAGATCTCAGCCTTCTAAGTGGCTAGAATTATAGGCGTGAGCCATCAATGCCTGGCTTCTGTTTCTTTTAAAAGTTGACAATATATTTGGGTTTCATAGAAAGGGAGCCCTGCTAGCCAGATCTCAACAACTCCTGGGAAACTACTTGATCATGAAGTAAGAAGTAGAATATCTTTATGTGCAAGCCCTGAATGCCTTAAAGTAGTTTGCCATGATGGCCATGTACCTGTAGTCCCAGCTACTTGGGTGGCTATGAGCCCAGGATTGCTTTAGCCCAGGAGTTGAAGGCCAGCCTGAACTTCGTGTCAATAAAAGCCAAGTGATGGTAGCTCATACCTGTAATCCTACCTACTCAGATGGCTGAGCTCTGAGGTTCTCGATTCAAAGCCAGACCCGGCAGAAAAATCCCCATGCAACTCTCATCTCCAAGTAGCCACCAAAAAACAGAAGTAGAGCTGTAGCTCAAGGTGGTAGAGCACTAGCTTCGAGCAAAAAAGCTCAGAGACAGCACCATGGTCCAGAGATCAAGCCCCATGATTGACAAAATAAAAAATAAAATAGCTGGTGGCTCATGTCTGTAATCATAGCTATTCAGGAGGTTGAGGTCTAGAGGATCATGGTTTGAAACTAGCCTGGGCAGAAAAGTCCCCAAGACTCCAAAATACCTAGCAAAAAGTGAGGCTGGAAGCATGCCTCAAGTGGCAGAGCACCAGCCGAACAAGCAAGCTGAGCAAGTACATGCCCTGAGTTCAAACTCCAGTACCACATAAAAATAAATAAAATATGGTTGGTAATGTGGTTTAGTGGCAGAGTGCTTGCCTAGCATGCATGAAGCCCTGGGTTTGATTCCTCAGTGCCACATAAACAGAAAAATCAGGAAGTGGCGCTGTGTCTTGTGGTAGAACACTAACCTTGAGCACAGAGAGG